AACAACATCTGGAGAACATCAGCTGCTGAGGAACAACATCTGGAGAACATCAGCTGCTCATAACATCTGGAGAACATCAGCTGCTGAGGAACAACACCTGGAGAACATCAGCTTTTGAGGAACAACATCTGGAGAACATCAGCTGCTGAGGAACAACATCTGGAGAGCATCAGCTGCTGAGGAACCACACCTGGAGAACATCAGCTGCTCATAGCATCTGGAGAGCATCAGCTGCTGAGGAACAACATCTGGAGAACATCAGCTGCTCATAGCATCTGGAGAACATCAGCTGCTGAGGAACCACATCTAGAGAACATCTCTTGTATAATTAACATTTTCACTGGTTTTCGTTTTAAGCAGTCGTTTCTTTTCTTTTTTTACCTGAACTTATGACCTCAACGATCATGTGAAGAACATGTGACTGACACGTGACGAACATATGATGGACACGTGATGAACATGTCATGAACAGGTGATGGACACGTGATGAACATGTGATGAACATGTGACTGACACGTGACAGACACGTGACAAACATGTGATGGACACGTGATGAACATGTGATGGACACGTGACGAACATATGGACACGTGATGAACATGTGACTGACACGTGACAGACACGTGACAAACATGTGATGGACACGTGATGAACATGTGATGGACACGTGACGAACATATGGACACGTGATGAACATGTGACTGACACGTGGCGAACATGTGACTGACACGTGATGAACATGGCCGCCATGTGACTGATACGTGACGAACATGTGACTGACACTTGATGAACATGTGACTGACACTTGATGAACATGTGACTGACACTTGATGAACATGTGACTGACACTTGATGAACATGTGACTGACACTTGATGAACATGGCCGTGTCATTTTTGTATTTTTGTCTGAAGGTTTGTGTTGGTGTTTATAAACTGCAGCTCGCTCAGTTTAATGAGCAGAGCGACTCTGTTTTAACCTCCGTCTGTTCCTTTCATCTCCTGCACTTTATATACATATCCATATTTAATATATATAACACAATAATATATATAACACAATAATAAATATAATATAAATAATAAATATAACAGTTCTCTGTAGTAACCAGCTCTGGCCAGCAGGGGGAGACGAAGCATCTTTTCAGGTTTTTATTATTTTACATCATTAAACAGGAAGCATAGAAAACTCATACAAATAATGTTCATGATGGGATGTGACGGTCACCATGACGACACACAGGTGTGGAGGTGAGACAGGCTGTGTGTCAGGGTTTGATCAGCCAATCACAGTGAGGGTTCACTCTGTAAACATCCAACAGCAGGCAGTCTGGAGGAAGACGCCGCTCACCTGGGAGACAGACAGACAGGTGAGCAGACAGACAGACAGGTGAGCAGACAGACAGACAGGTGAGCAGACAGACAGTAAGTAAGTAAAGTTTATTTATAAAGCGCTTTTCACAGACAAAGTCACAAAGTGCTTGACAAAACAATAAGACATCCACATAGACGTACAATGAGCCCTCATGATGACAGGTGAGCAGACAGACAGGTGAGCAGACAGACAGACAGGTGAACAGACAGACAGGTGAGCAGACAGACAGGTGAACAGACAGACAGGTGAGCAGACAGACAGACAGACAGACAGGTGAGCAGACACACACAGGTGAACAGACAGACAGGTGAGCAGACAGACAGACAGGTGAACAGACAGGTGAACAGACAGACAGACGAGCAGACACACAGGTGAACAGACAGACAGACAGGTGAGCAGACAGACAGACAGGTGAGCAGACTGACAGACAGGTGAACAGACAGACAGACAGGTGAGCAGACTGACAGACAGGTGAACAGACAGACAGACAGGTGAACAGACAGACAGACAGGTGAGCAGACTGACAGACAGGTGAGCAGACAGACAGGTGAGCAGACAGACAGATAGACAGACAGACAGGTGAGCAGACTGACAGACAGGTGAGCAGACAGACAGACAGGTGAGCAGACAGACAGACAGATAGACAGACAGACAGACAGGTAAGCAGACAGACAGGTTTGGTATCTGTCTCACACATTTGAACTCACAGATGTTTCCTCCGACTTCATAAAGGTGCTGAGCAGAACAGCTGGAGGAGAGAGAGAGATTATGAGTGTGTGTGTGTGTGTGTTAGTGTGTGTGTGGGATGTGTATTATTATGAGTGTGTGTGTTAGTGTGTGCTCGTGTGTGTGAGATGTGTGTGGGATGTGTTTTAGTGTGTGTGTCTTTGTGTGTGAGATGTGTATTAGTGTGTGTGTGGGATGTGTGTTACCTGTTGTCACACTCGAAGCGGGCGATCACGTCTCTGGCTCTCGTCTGTCCGTCAAGCTGTATCGCCATGGAGACCTTAGTGTGGCAGGGGGCGTGAACCCTGATCACACCTTCACACAACTCTGTGATCTACACACACACACACACACACACACACACACACACACATTACATTTGAGAGAAAACACACACCTGGTCTCTGTCTCACCTGGTCTCTGTCTCACCTGGTCTGTGTCTCACCTGGTCTCTGTCTCACCTGGTTTGACCTGGTCTGTGTCTAACCTGGTCTCACCTGGTCTCTGTCTCACCTGGTTTGACCTGGTCTGTGTCTCACCTTGTCTCACCTGGTCTATGTCTCACCTGGTCTCACCTGTTCTCACCTGGTCTCATCTGGTCTGTGTCTAACCTGGTCTCTGTCTCACCTGGTCTCACCTGGTCTGTCTAACCTGGTCTGTGTCTCACCTGGTCTGTCTCACCTGGTCTCTGTCTCACCTGGTCTCACCTGTTCTCACCTGGTCTGTGTCTTACCTGGTCTCTGTCTCACCTGGTCTCACCTGGTCTGTCTAACCTGGTCTGTGTCTCACCTGGTCTGTCTCACCTGGTCTCTGTCTCACCTGGTCTCACCTGTTCTCACCTGGTCTGTGTCTCACCTGGTCTCTGTCTCACCTGGTCTGTGTCTCACCTGGTCTGTGTCTCACCTGGTCTCACCTGGTCTGTCTCACCTGGTCTCTGTCTCACCTGTTCTGTGTCTCACCTGGTCTCACCTGGTCTGTCTCACCTGGTCTCTGTCTCATCTGGTCTCTGTCTCACCTGGTCTGTCTCACCTGGTCTCACCTGGTCTGTCTCACCTGGTCTGTGTCTCACCTGGTCTGTGTCTCACCTGGTCTCTGTCTCACCTGGTCTGTGTCTCACCTGGTCTGTCTCACCTGGTCTGTGTCTCACCTGGTCTGTCTCACCTGGTCTGTGTCTCACCTGGTCTCTGTCTCACCTGGTCTGTGTCTCACCTGGTCTCTGTCTCACCTGGTCTGTGTCAGAGGTTGCGCTCGTCTTTTTCGCTGCCCGTCATTTTGACGGGCAGGATCTTAACATTTCCGTCAAAATACATGATCACCCGTCGGTCTGTACACAACTCTGACGGGGGGTGGTGGAGAGAGCACGCTCGTGAACTGTCAACGGGGGGAGGGGGCTCCCGCGAGGTGCATGCCATTGCCCACTGCACCTCGCGGGAGCGCGCACAGCGTAAAGCAAATACTCAGACATTTCATTGATTTGTGACAAATGTAGCTTTGGAACAATATCATTTCCTTTTTGGCGGGCATGCATAACACCGGAGCCTCACTGCGGGGAAGCTTTGGCGCTGTTCTGAGTTTGTTCTAATCTGCAGGGCTCTCGACTAACTTTTTTCACCATCCTCCCGGAACCGTCCCGAAATACAATCTAAGCCGTCCCGAAATTAATGTGGACCGTCCCGAATTTAAAATATTTGTTTTTCTACATTATCATTAGTTAAAATCATTCAAAGTGACCTTTAACATAAATAAAACATCATACAAATCATTAGATGATAATTCATCAACCTTTTTATTTGAGTCAATCAGTCAAACACATAAACAAAGGCCAAATATATTTAAAAAAAACACACAAGCGAGAAAGTTACTCTAATATTGAATCCAATCAAGTTCTATCCAATTATCAAAAACATCCAACACTCTGTCCTGAAGACAGAAGACAGAACCCAGAGTAACCACTAACCAGGATGACAGTCTGTAACACAGTCAGGAGACCTTTACAAACTGCCCCGCCCCCTCGCACACAGGAGAGAGCTCTCTCGTCTGGATTGGAAAGATCGAAAATAAGATCGAAAATACATCATAGACGCATTTTGTAGTCTTATTGCATATTAGAAACGGAGTTGGCGAAACTAAAACTGCAACATAATGTTCATGTAGCAATAATACATGACATATATGTTTTAAATGTCTCTACCACTGTCTTTAATAATTCCGGCCCGGGGCCCGTTTAATACCGGGGCTCGGTACCCATCCCTACATGGGGAGAGGCGCAGCATATTGCTAAGGACTACATGCGATGGAGAGTTCTCATCTCAGCTGCAATGACATGTCTGGAAACCCCCTCTCGGGTGCCCCATGCATAGCGCGCCGTCAAAAGCTGCTTCATAAGTTAAGTTTCGTTTCTCCGCACCGCTCCGGGGTAAAAAAATGGTAGTTACATCACAGCTGTACGGCTGGCTGACAGCTGTAGCTATACGTACTGTGTGTGTGTGTATTTCGCGGGTTGCTAAATGCTTTGTGTGTGTTTATGTTGACAAGGAGGTTTAATAACTGTGTGCTACACAAAACGTGCAGTCAGTTTCATTTTCATCGCCGTTCGTAGTAGAGTTAGCAGGGTATTTTTATTTTAACTCTCGTCCCAAAATTAATTTGTATCCTCCCCGACCGATTTTTTTCGACGACGGGAGGTCCTTAAGCTCGAGCCCTGCTAATCTGTCAAACGGCTTTCTGTGTCTCACCTGGTCTCTGTCTCACCTGGTCTCACCTGGTCTGTGTCTCACCTGGTCTCACCTGGTCTGTGTCTAACCTGGTTTGTGTGGTCTCACCTGGTCTCACCTGGTCTCTGTCTCACCTGGTCTCACCTGGTCTGTGTCTCACCTGGTCTCACCTGGTCTCACCTGGTCTCTGTCTCATCTGGTGTCAGTCTCACCTGGTCTCTGTCTCACCTGGTCTCACCTGTTCTCACCTGGTCTCACCTGTTCTCTGTCTCACCTGGTCTCTGTCTCACCTGGTTTCTCCTGGTCTTTGTCTCACCTGGTCTCACCTGTTCTCTGTCTCACCTGGTCTCTGTCTCACCTGGTCTGTGTCTCACCTGGTCTCTGTCTCACCTGGTCTCACCTGTTCTCTGTCTCACCTGGTCTCACCTGGTCTGTGTCTCACCTTGTCTCACCTGGTCTCTGTCTCACCTGGTCTCACCTGTTCTCTGTCTCACCTGGTCTCTGTCTCACCTGGTCTGTGTCTCACCTGGTCTCTGTCTCACCTGGTCTGTGTCTCACCTGGTCTCTGTCTCACCTGGTCTCACCTGTTCTCTGTCTCACCTGGTCTCACCTGGTCTGTGTCTCACCTTGTCTCACCTGGTCTCTGTCTCACCTGGTCTCACCTGTTCTCTGTCTCACCTGGTCTCTGTCTCACCTGGTCTGTGTCTCACCTGGTCTCATCCGGTCTCACCTGGTCTCTGTCTCACCTGGTCTCACCTGTTCTCTGTCTCACCTGGTCTCTGTCTCACCTGGTTTCTCCTGGTCTCTGTCTCACTTGGTCTCTGTCTCTCCTGGTCTCTGTCTCACCTGGTTCTGGTGGTTCTTGTGGTTCGTCCACCTCAGAAGTCGTCTCTTGGCCTTCGTCAGGCCGAGCTGCTTCTGATTGGACGCCTGGTTCATCTGCCTCACCTGAGACAACAGGAAGGTGGGTACCTGGGAAACAGGAAGTGGTGTCACAAACAGCAGGAAGTGATGTCAGAGACAGACGGGGGGGCTTCTGACTCACGGTCCACAAGACGTCCAGGTGTGCGACCATCAGGCGGACCAGGTGAGCCCCCCCCACCGCCTCCTCCATCTCCTCCTGCTGTTTGGACAGGAAGCGCTTGTTGCCACGGCGATGGCAGGTGAACAGGTTAGGCGCCATCACCATGGAAACGTTCCAGAGAGACATCCTGTTCTGGTCCTGATGGGAGACCACCTGACGCAGGAAGACCAGCAGCACCTGTTGGAGACACACAGGTGAGAGAGAGAGACAAGTGAGACACAGGTGAGACACACAGGTAGAAACAGAGACAGGTGAGACACACAGGTAGAGACAGACAGGTGAGACACGCAGGTAGGGATACTGAGGTAAACCAGACTGATTTAAGGTGGACTGATTTAAGGTGGACTTACTCTCAGAGTCTCTCTGTTAGCTTCGGGCAGCAGCAGCGTCAGCAGCTGAAGAGCCTGAACCTGATGAAGCACTGAGGACACACCTGTAGGGAGAGAGAGAGTCACCTGTGTGTGTGTGTGTGTGTGTGTGTGTGTGTGTGTGTGTGTGTGTGTGTGTGTGTGTGTGTGTGTGTGTGTGTGTGTGTGTGTGTGTGTGTGTGTGTGTGTGTGTGTGTGTGTGTGTGGTGTGTGTGTGTGTGTGTGTGTGTGTGTGTGTGTGTGTGTGTGTGTGTGTGTGTGTGTGTGTACCCAGCACAGCGCGGTAGGTGGACAGGTGTGTGTGTGTCAGCAGAGGTGTTGGCAGCTCTCTGATGAACAGCTTCAGCAGACCTGCAGCGTCCACCTGTCTCACTGACGACCAGTCGAACCCTCCACTGCTGCACCTGTCTAACTCTCTGCGCAGGTACTGCAGACAGACAAGCACACAGACAGGTCAGATCTACACCTGTACTGACATGGTTCATATATAAAGTGTGTGTGTTACCTTCAGTCTAGCAGCTGATCCTGGTACTCTGAGAATCCCTTCTGTCTGCAGGCCGGTCTGCTCTAAGATACACAACAACTACACACACACACACACACACACACACACACACACACACACACACACACACACACACACACACACACACACACACACACACATACACACACACACACACACACACACACACACACATTAACTTATATAAGAGTCTGAAGAGGTCGGCAGGAAACAAAGATGGCCGCCTCCTCTCACCTTCTGAAAGACGACAGGAACTTTGACTCCAGGACACGTCTTCCTGTCGTTCTCCAGCAGAGACTCCAGAGGAACAGCAAACACACCCCCCTCTGAGAGAGAGACAGGCAGGTGTAAGCTGATGTCTCAGGTGAGTCTCAGGTGTGTCTCAGGTGTGTCTCAGGTGTGTCTCAGGTGTGTCTCAGGTGTGTCTCATTGGTCTCAGGTGTGTCTCAGTGGTCTCAGGTGTGTCTCAGTGGTCTCAGGTGTGTCTCAGGTGTGTCTCAGGTGTGTCTCATTGGTCTCAGGTGTGTTCTCATTGGTCTCAGGTGTGTCTCAGTGGTCTCAGGTGTTCTCAGTGGTCTCAGGTGTGGTCTCATTGGTCTCAGGTGTGTCTCATTGGTCTCAGGTGTGTCTGCATTGGTCTCAGGTGTGTCTCAGGTGTGTCTCATTGGTCTCAGGTGTGTCCCAGGTGTGTCTCATTGGTCTCAGGTGTGTCTCATTGTGTCTCAGGTGTGTCTCAGGTGTGTCTCAGGTGTGTCTCAGGTGTGTCTCAGTGGTCTCAGGTGTGTCTCATTGGTCTCAGGTGTGTCTCAGGTGTGTCTCAGGTGTGTCTCAGGGTGTGTCTCAGGTGTGTCTCAGTGGTCTCGGTTGTCTCAGGTGTGTCTCAGGTGTGTCTCAGGTGTGTCTCAGGTGTGTCTCAGTGGTCTCAGGTGTGTCTCAGGTGTGTGTCTCAGGTGTGTCTCAGTGGTCTCAGGTGTGTCTCAGGTGTGTCTCAGGTGTGTCCTCAGGTGTGTCTCATTGGTCTCAGGTGTGTCTCATTGGTCTCAGGTGTGTCTCAGTGGTCTCAGGTGTGTCTCAGTGGTCTCAGGTGTGTCTCATTGGTCTCAGGTGTGTCTCATTGGTCTCAGGTGTGTCTCAGTGGTCTCAGGTGTGTCTCATTGGGTCTCAGGTGTGTCTCATTGGTCTCAGGTGTGTCTCATTGGTCTCAGGTGTGTCTCAGGTGTGTCTCATTGGTCTCAGGTGTGTCTCAGGTGTGTCTCATTGGTCTCAGGTGTGTCTCAGGTGTGTCTCATTGGTCTCAGGTGTGTCTCAGGTGTGTCTCAGGTGTGTCCGCAGGTGTGTCTCAGTGTGGTCTCATGGTGTGTCTCATTGGTCTCAGGTGTGTCTCAGGTGTGTCTCAGGTGTGTCTCAGTGGTCTCAGGTGTGTCTCATTGGTCTCAGGTGTGTCTCAGGTGTGTCTCATTGGTCTCAGGTGTGTCTCAGGTGTGTCTCAGGTGTGTCTCAGTGGTCTCAGGTGTGTCTCAGGTGTGTCTCAGGTGTGTCTCAGTGGTCTCAGGTGTGTCTCAGGTGTGTCTCAGTGGTCTCAGGTGTGTCTCAGGTGTGTCTCGGTGGTCTCAGGTGAATCTCAGGTTTGTCTCAGGTGTGTCTCATTGGTCTCAGGTGTGTCTCATTGGTCTCAGGTGTGTCTCAGGTGTGTCTCAGTGGTCTCAGGTGTGTCTCAGTGGTCTCAGGTGTGTCTCGGTGCTCTCAGGTGAATCTCAGGTTTGTCTCAGGTGTGTCTCAGGTGTGTCTCATTGGTCTCAGGTGTGTCTCAGGTGTGTCTCATTGGTCTCAGGTGTGTCTCATTGGTCTCAGGTGTGTCTCAGGTGTGTCAGGTGTGTCTCAGGTGTGTCTCAGTGGTCTCAGGTGTGTCTCAGTGGTCCTGGCAGGTGTGTCTCAGGTGTGTCTCATTGGTCTCAGGTGTGTCTCAGGTGTGTCTCAGGTGTGTCTCAGGTGTGTCTCAGTGGTCTCAGGTGTGTCTCAGGTGTGTCTCAGGTGTGTCTCAGTGGTCTCAGGTGTGTCTCAGGTGTGTCTCAGGTGTGTCTCAGGTGTGTCTCATTGGTCTCAGGTGTGTCTCAGTGGTCTCATTGGTCTCAGGTGTGTCTCATTGGTCTCAGGTGTGTCTCAGGTGTGTCTCAGGTGTGTCTCAGGTGTGTCTCAGTGGTCTCAGGTGTGTCTCATTGGTCTCAGGTGTGTCTCAGGTGTGTCTCAGGTGTGTCTCAGGTGTGTCTCAGTGGTCTCAGGTGTGTCTCATTGGTCTCAGGTGTGTCTCAGGTGTGTCTCATTGGTCTCAGGTGTGTCTCAGGTGTGTCTCAGGTGTGTCTCAGTGGTCTCAGGTGTGTCTCAGGTGTGTCTCAGGTGTGGTCTCAGGTGTGTCTCAGTGGTCTCAGGTGTGTCTCAGGTGTGTCTCAGGTGTGTCTCATTGGTCTCAGGTGTGTCTCATTGGTCTCAGGTGTGTCTCATTGGTCTCAGGTGTGTCTCAGTGGTCTCAGGTGTGTCTCAGTGGTCTCAGGTGTGTCTCATTGGTCTCAGGTGTGTCTCATTGGTCTCAGGTGTGTCTCATTGGTCTCAGGTGTGTCTCAGTGGTCTCAGGTGTGTCTCAGTGGTCTCAGGTGTGTCTCATTGGTCTCAGGTGTGTCTCATTGGTCTCAGGTGTGTCTCATTGGTCTCAGGTGTGTCTCAGGTGTGTCTCATTGGTCTCAGGTGTGTCTCATTGGTCTCAGGTGTGTCTCAGGTGTGTCTCAGGTGTGTCTCAGGTGTGTCTCAGTAGTCTCAGGTGTGTCTCATTGGTCTCAGGTGTGTCTCAGGTGTGTCTCAGGTGTGTCTCAGGTGTGTCTCAGTGGTCTCAGGTGTGTCTCATTGGTCTCAGGTGTGTCTCAGGTGTGTCTCATTGGTCTCAGGTGTGTCTCAGGTGTGTCTCAGGTGTGTCTCAGGTGTGTCTCAGTGGTCTCAGGTGTGTCTCAGTGGTCTCAGGTGTGTCTCATTGGTCTCAGGTGTGTCTCAGGTGTGTCTCATTGGTCTCAGGTGTGTCTCAGGTGTGTCTCAGGTGTGTCTCAGGTGTGTCTCAGTGGTCTCAGGTGTGTCTCATTGGTCTCAGGTGTGTCTCATTGGTCTCAGGTGTGTCTCAGGTGTGTCTCAGGTGTGTCTCAGTGGTCTCAGGTGTGTCTCAGGTGTGTCTCAGGTGTGTCTCAGTGGTCTCAGGTGTGTCTCAGGTGTGTCTCAGTGGTCTCAGGTGTGTCTCAGTGGTCTCAGGTGTGTCTCAGGTGTGTCTCGGTGGTCTCAGGTGAATCTCAGGTTTGTCTCAGGTGTGTCTCATTGGTCTCAGGTGTGTCTCATTGGTCTCAGGTGTGTCTCAGGTGTGTCTCAGTGGTCTCAGGTGTGTCTCAGTGGTCTCAGGTGTGTCTCGGTGCTCTCAGGTGAATCTCAGGTTTGTCTCAGGTGTGTCTCAGGTGTGTCTCATTGGTCTCAGGTGTGTCTCAGGTGTGTCTCATTGGTCTCAGGTGTGTCTCATTGGTCTCAGGTGTGTCTCAGGTGTGTCTCAGGTGTGTCTCAGGTGTGTCTCAGTGGTCTCAGGTGTGTCTCATTGGTCTCAGGTGTGTCTCAGGTGTGTCTCATTGGTCTCAGGTGTGTCTCAGGTGTGTCTCAGGTGTGTCTCAGGTGTGTCTCAGTGGTCTCAGGTGTGTCTCAGGTGTGTCTCAGGTGTGTCTCAGTGGTCTCAGGTGTGTCTCAGGTGTGGTCTCAGGTGTGTCTCAGGTGTGTCTCATTGGTCTCAGGTGTGTCTCAGTGGTGTCAGGTGTGTCTCAGTGGTCTCAGGTGTGTCTCATTGGTCTCAGGTGTGTCTCATTGGTCTCAGGTGTGTCTCATTGGTCTCAGGTGTGTCTCAGTGGTCTCAGGTGTGTCTCAGTGGTCTCAGGTGTGTCTCATTGGTCTCAGGTGTGTCTCATTGGTCTCAGGTGTGTCTCATTGGTCTCAGGTGTGTCTCAGGTGTGTCTCATTGGTCTCAGGTGTGTCTCAGGTGTGTCTCATTGGTCTCAGGTGTGTCTCATTGGTCTCAGGTGTGTCTCAGGTGTGTCTCAGGTGTGTCTCAGGTGTGTCACAGTGGTCTCAGGTGTGTCTCATTGGTCTCAGGTGTGTCTCAGGTGTGTCTCAGGTGTGTCTCAGGTGTGTCTCAGGTGTGTCTCAGGTGTGTCTCAGTGGTCTCAGGTGTGTCTCAGGTGTGTCTCAGGTGTGTCTCAGGTGTGTCTCAGGTGTGTCTCAGTGGTCTCAGGTGTGTCTCAGGTGTGTCTCAGGTGTGTCTCAGGTGTGTCTCAGTGGTCTCAGGTGTGTCTCAGGTGTGTCTCATTGGTCTCAGGTGTGTCTCATTGGTCTCAGGTGTGTCTCATTGGTCTCAGGTGTGTCTCATTGGTCTCAGGTGTGTCTCAGTGGTCTCAGGTGTGTCTCAGTGGTCTCAGGTGTGTCTCATTGGTCTCAGGTGTGTCTCATTGGTCTCAGGTGTGTCTCAGTGGTCTCAGGTGTGTCTCAGTGGTCTCAGGTGTGTCTCATTGGTCTCAGGTGTGTCTCATTGGTCTCAGGTGTGTCTCATTGGTCTCAGGTGTGTCTCAGGTGTGTCTCATTGGTCTCAGGTGTGTCCTCAGGTGTGTCCTCAGGTGTGTCTCATTGGTCTCAGGGTGTGTCTCAGGTGTGTCTCAGGTGTGTCTCAGGTGTGTCTCAGTGGTCTCAGGTGTGTCTCATTGGTCTCAGGTGTGTCTCAGGTGTGTCTCAGGTGTGTCTCAGGTGTGTCTCAGTGGTCTCAGGTGTGTCTCATTGGTCTCAGGTGTGTCTCAGGTGTGTCTCATTGGTCTCAGGTGTGTCTCAGGTGTGTCTCAGGTGTGTCTCAGGTGTGTCTCAGGTGTGTCTCAGGTGTGTCCTCAGGGTGTGTCTCAGGTGTGTCTCAGGTGTCCTCAGTGGTCTCAGGTGTGTCTCAGGTGTCTCAGGTGGTGTCTCATTGGTCTCAGGTGTGTCTCATTGGTCTCAGGTGTGTCTCATTGGTCTCAGGTGTGTCTCAGTGGTCTCAGGTGTGTCTCAGTGGTCTCAGGTTGTCTCATTGGTCTCAGGTGTGTCTCATTGGTCTCAGGTGTGTCTCATTGGTCTCAGGTGTGTCTCAGTGGTCTCAGGTGTGTCTCAGGTGTGTCTCATTGGTCTCAGGTGTGTCTCATTGGTCTCAGGTGTGTCTCATTGGTCTCAGGTGTGTCTCAGGTGTGTCTCATTGGTCTCAGGTGTGTCTCATTGGTCTCAGGTGTGTCTCAGGTGTGTCTCAGGTGTGTCTCAGGTGTGTCTCAGTAGTCTCAGGTGTGTCTCATTGGTCTCAGGTGTGTCTCAGGTGTGTCTCAGGTGTGTCTCAGTGGTCTCAGGTGTCTCATTGGTCTCAGGTGTGTCAGGTGTGTCTCATTGGTCTCAGGTGTGTCTCAGGTGTGTCTCAGGTTTGTCTCAGGTGTGTCTCAGTGGTCTCAGGTGTGTCTCAGTGTCTCAGGTGTGTCTCATTGGTCTCAGGTGTCTCAGTGTGGTCTCATTGGTCTCAGTGTGTCTCAGGTGTGTCTCAGGTGTGTCTCAGTGGTCTCAGTGTGTCTCATTGGTCTCAGGTTGTGCTCATTGGTCTCAGGTGTGTCTCAGGTGTGTCTCAGGTGTGTCTCAGTGTGTCTCAGTTGGTCTCAGGTGTGTCTCAGTGTGTCTCAGTGGTCTCAGGTGTGTCTCAGTGGTCTCAGGTGTGTCTCAGGTGTGTCTCGTGGTCTCAGGTGAATCTCAGGTTTGTCTCAGGTGTGTCTCAGTGGTCTCAGGTGTGTCTCATTGGTCTCAGGTGTGTCTCAGGTGTGTCTCAGTGGTCTCAGGTGTGTCTCAGTGGTCTCAGGTGTGTCTCGGTGCTCTCAGGTGAATCTCAGGTTTGTCTCAGGTGTGTCTCAGGTGTGTCTCATTGGTCTCAGGTGTGTCTCAGGTGTGTCTCATTGGTCTCAGGTGTGTCTCATTGGTCTCAGGTGTGTCTCAGGTGTGGTCTCAGGTGTGTCTCAGGTGTGTCTCAGTGGTCTCAGGTGTGTCTCATTGGTCTCAGGTGTGTCTCAGGTGTGTCTCATTGGTCTCAGGTGTGTCTCAGGTGTGTCTCAGGTGTGTCTCAGGTGTGTCTCAGTGGTCTCAGGTGTGTCTCAGTGGTCTCAGGTGTGTCTCGGTGGTCTCAGGTGAATCTCAGGTTTGTCTCAGGTGTGTCTCAGGTGTGTCTCATTGGTCTCAGGTGTGTCTCATTGGTCTCAGGTGTGTCTCAGGTGTGTCTCAGGTGTGTCTCAGGTGTGTCTCAGGTGTGTCTCAGTGGTCTCAGGTGTGTCTCAGTGGTCTCAGGTGTGTCTCAGTGGTCTCAGGTGTGTCTCAGGTGTCTCTCAGGTGAGTAAAGGAACCTCTGCTCCTGTGTCTTGGCGCTCGGCTGTGTTTGGTCTGAACTCCCAGAGCCAACAGGAAGGTGTGGAGCTCGATGTGAGAGATGAAGCCGAGCCTCGTCAGGTCACATGACGAGAGGTCGTCTGCACAGGTGAGACCTGAGAGGGGGAGACAGGTACGAACTGCACACACACACACACACACACACACACACACACACACACACACACACACACACACACACACACACACACACACACACACACACACACACACACACGTACACAAAACACACACACGTTATTCATTTCACCAACGTATCTGGAAAACTAAACTAGACTACAGTCAGACACCAATCACAACTCACCTGCAGTTCATCACTGTCGTCTCCATGGAAACGGAGGCAGTCCCAACAAGCCCCGCCCCGTTTGTGTTCGGCCACGCCCTCTGAGTACGGAGAGTCCCTCAGCAGCCAACCAGCTCGCCTCGTCCATCTCACAGGCCATGAGTGTGTGTGTGTTGGAGAGTGTGTGTGTGTTGGAGAATGTGTGTGTGTTGGAGAGTGTGTGTGTGGGGGGGAGTGTGTGTGTGTCGGAGAGTGTGTGTGTGTCGGAGTGTGTGTGTGTGGGGGGGAGTGAGTGTGTGTCGGAGAGTGAGTGTGTGTCGGAGAGTGTGTGTGTGTCGGAGAGTGTGTGTGTGTGGGGGGGAGTGAGTGTGTGTCGGAGAGTGTGTGTGTGTTGGAGTGTGTGTGTGTGGGGGGGAGTGAGTGTGTGTCGGAGAGTGTGTGTGTGGGGGGGGGTGACGGGTGTTCTGGTAGATGATCCTCAAAGAAGAACGCAGGAAGAGTCGGTCGGACTGGAAAAACAAACAGGGAACAATTTAAATAACTGCTAACCCCCTAAGGGTCCTCTGGAACCCCATGAAAGACCACAAGAACCACCTAATGGGTCAGTAGAACCACCTAATGACCACAAAAACCACCTAAAGTACCACTGGCACTACCTAGAAGACAACTAGCATCACCTAAAGGACCAGCAGAACCTCCTATAGGACCAGCAGAACAGTAGAACCTCCTAAAGGACCAGTAGAACCTCCTAAAGGACCAGTAGAACCTCCTAAAGGACAGTAGAACCTCCTAAAGGACCAGTAGAACAGTAGAACCTCCTAAAGGACCAGTAGAACCTCCTAAAGGACCAGTAGAACCTCCTAAAGGACAGTAGAACCTCCTAAATGACCAGTAGAACCTCCTAAAGGACAGTAGAACCTCCTAAATGACCAGTAGAACCTCCTAAAGGACAGTAGAACCTCCTATAGGACCAGCAGAACAGTAGAACCTCCTAAAGGACCAGTAGAACCTCCTAAAGGACCAGTAGAACCTCCTAAAGGACAGTAGAACCTCCTAAATGACCAGTAGAACCTCCTAAAGGACCAGCAGAACAGTCGAACCTCCTAAAGGACCAGTAGAACCTCAAGGACCAGTAGAACCTCCTAAAGGACCAGCAGAACAGTAGAACCTCCTAAAGGACCAGTAGAACCTCCTAAAGGACCAGTAGAACCTCCTAAAGGACCAGCAGAACCACCAGTAGAACCACATAGAGACAGGTACCTGTGTGAGGGTTTCGGTGGATGGTCTTGGTGGAGGTGTGGTATCGACCCGGCTGTGACTCGATGTGGTGAGCGGGGGGGGAGGGGCTTCTTTCTGCTGACTCATCGTCAGGCTGTAATAACATGAGAGAGAAGAAACGTCAACAAAGCGACTCTATGACTAAACCATGACTCAGCGTTTCTGTATGAAACCCACCTCAGTGAAGACGTCCCGCACGTCTCTGATTGGCTGCCGGTTCCTCAGCTTCAGCGTCTCGTTGTAGTTGTCCAGCCTCTTCCTCACCGTTGCAGCTTGTTGCCGTGACAACGTGGAGAGCAGCGCCTCCGCCGGGGGAGACGCCTCCTGATAGGACGAGCCCGTAAACAGAGAGGAGAGTCCCGCCTCTGTAAGCCACGCCTCCTCCAGCTCCACCTCTGAAACACAAACAGGAAGTCACTCTAAAGGTAAACACAAACAGGAAGTCACTCTAAAGGTAAACACAAACAGGAAGTCACTCTAAAGGTAAACACAAACAGGAAGTCACTCTAAAGGTAAACACAGGAAATCTCAGACAGGAAACAGGAAGTCTCACCGTCCATACTCTTCCTCTCTTCCTCTTCCTCTTCTTCTTCTTCTCCTTCTTTTTCCTCCTCAATGCTTTTCACCTCCCTCCAGTACGTCTCCATGGTAACGTGGCGGGGGTCAGAGGTCACAACGTGAGGGGGGGCGGAGGAGGAAGTGGGGGGGGACAGCATCCTGACAGCCAATCAGAGAGGAGACAGCCAATCAGATCCTGACAGCCAATCAGAGAGAAGACAGCCAATCAGATCCTGACAGCCAATCAGAGAGAAGACAGAGGACACAGATGGAGATCAGATTGAGGGTCGAAGCTGATCTGAGATTAAATATTGATAACATGAGAGGAAGTCTCTTCAGTGTATTGATGTGTGTGTGTGTGTGTGTGTGTGTGTGTGTGTGTGTGTGTGTGTGTGTGTGTGTGTGTGTGTGTGTGTGTGTGTGTGTGTGTGTGTGTGTGTGTGTGTGTGTGTGTGTGTGTGTGTGTGTGTGTGTGTGTGTGTGTTGGGGGACCTCTCTCTAATGGTTCTTGTTCCCAGGGGAACACAGAGTGGGGTGCACATGCTAACGCTAGCTGCTGTAGTCCATTAGGAGGAAATGGACATCCAATCAGAGCGGAGTGTTTTCACTCAGGTCCTCACACAGAAACCTGAGCTGGTGTTGAATAAAAAGAGTCTCATCCGTTCACCTGCAGATTATCATATATATATTATATATGTATTATAACATAGTTTTGATGTTATAATATATATATATGATACTCTAACTAACCCAGCAGGTGACAGCAGAGTGTAGAGCAGATACAGAGATGGACTATCATGTGTAATACAATATATGCAGTTATTAATAATAAAGAAACACAATAAGTACACCAGGTTCAAACGTATATTTGACCACATAAACATATAGAAGTAGCTGCTACTGTTAGCATTATTATTATTATTATTATTATTATTATGATTATTAAGATCAGTGCATGAAGAGCATCACTCACCTCCGACTGCTGCTGCTGAGTGAGGGGGAGGGGCCAGAGAGACAGGAAGTGAGGGGGAGGGGCCAGAGGGACAGGAAGTGAGGGGGAGGGGCCAGAGATACAGGAAGTGAGGGGGAGGGGGGAGGGCGGAGGGTTATGGCTAGAAAGGATCCGTCTTGTGTAAAACTCTGGCGAGAGTTTGTAAGTCACGTGGCTGAATGTTTACGTTTGGCAGCCTTTCAGTAACGATCGTTAACATCAGTGGGTCACAGCAAATGATGGTGAGAAGATAAACTATCTATTCATTATGTCAATTACAGGGAGTGAGATTGTTGAAATAGGATGTTTGTGGTCTTGCTGTTCAAAGAAGAATGACAACACTGTAGATCACCAACACTATGGTTTCTTTTGTATTCACAGTCCCCAGAGAGCTCCTGGTGCCATGACATGTTCCCTTTCAGTGTTTGACTATCTGTCTCTATTCATGTTGCTGCTGCTGACCTCCTTTAACCCGTTGGGTAGTTGAATCTGTAGCAATGCATCAGATCCTCATCACGTGTATCTCTGTCCTGTGAGAACCATGTATCTTTCAAAAGTTCCTCAGGAAACAGCTGTTGCTATGAAGGTATATGGTGCAAAGGTAGATACGGTGCAAAGGTAGATATGGTGCAAAGGTAGATACGGTGCAAAGGTAGATACGGTGCAAAGGTAGATATGGTGCAAAGGTAGATACGGTGCAACGGTAGATATGGTGCAAAGGTAGATACGGTGCAAAGGTAGATATGGTGCAACGGTAGATATGGTGCAAAGGTAGATACGGTGCAAAGGTAGATACGGTGCAAAGGTAGATATGGTGCAAAGGTAGATACGGTGCAAAGGTAGATACGGTGCAACGGTAGATATGGTGCAACGGTAGATATGGTGCAAAGGTAGATATGGTGCAAAGGTAGATATGGTGCAAAGGTAGATATGGTGCAAAGGTAGATACGGTGCAAAGGTAGATACGGTGCAACGGTAGATATGGTGCAAAGGTAGATATGGTGCAAAGGTAGATATGGTGCAAAGGTAGATATGGTGCAAAGGTAGATATGGTGCAAAGGTAGATACGGTGCAAAGGTAGATATGGTGCAAAGGTAGATATGGTGCAAAGGTAGATACGGTGCAAAGGTAGATATGGTGCAAAATGCGAGAGGGTGTAAAACCTGATGTGAGCACTTGCAGAAAAGAAATCTGAGCTTGTGTGCATACATTTACACTTGTATCAAATATCCACGTATCTGTGAACCACATTTGAAGTCACAGAAGAAAAAAAAAAGTTGTGTGTCTCCCAAGGCGCAGCTCCAGAAGGTTGGTGCCCTGCTTCTCACCATTGACGGCTGCTCCATCTCCCCGTCCACTGAAGTCCCATCCTGGACTCCACCCTCTCTTTCCAGGCGCATATCAAATCCATGACCAAATCCGCCTTCTACAGGCCCCGACACACCAGGCCGATATCGGCCGTCTTGCGTTGTTGGGCGAAAACGGGTTCCTTGTCGCCCAAAGTCAATTTGGTGTGTCCCGAACCCTCGGCCGTGACACGCCTTATTTGGCCTTTCACGGTCGACACCCGGCCGATTCAACATGTTGAATCGGCCGGGTGTCGACCACAAGCTATCGGGCCAAGAAAGCACTCTGATTGGCTGTTCAGCTAGCGAATGAGAAGCGAAACGGAAGTGAGGGACGTAATCAAATGATTGAAGAAGGCACACACACACAGATGGCTATTCATTTTCATCTCATCGGTGTATTGATCATCATGGCGATCTGGAATCAAGAAATCGAAGACCTGTTCATCACTTTGATCCAGGAGAGGCCAGCTCTGTACGATATTACAGAGGCTAAGTACTCCAACAGAATCGTGAAAACGGGACTCTGGCGAGAGATAGAATCACAACTTGGTTTCTCAGGTAAGATTATCTTTTTTCATCAATTGAGCTCTTGAGCAGAAACTGTTGGTTTTTTATTCTTTGCCAGCGTACGTGAAATGTAATTTGTTATTTCAACCTTGTGTTTAGTTGTTATCTTGTTGGTAGCTGTTGCTACTTGTTTGGCGCTGCATATGGATATGATTTGAGCCACCATGCTTACATCCTTTATTTATGTGCTTCAGAGAAAGAGCTGAGGAAGAAGTGGGATTCTCTGCGAACCCAGTACACCCGGTACCGGAGACTTGCCTCTTCAGGTAGTTCTGCTACACCAATGACCAGCAGACAGCAGTGGGTCCTGACCAGGCTGCGGTTTCTGGAGCCTTTCACAAAAGGAAGGAGAGTACTTCCAACCTCACCTTCACGGTAACTACTTTATTTGTTGAGTACAAATACGCGTTTCTTGCTTCTTTCAATTACAAAAACATTATTTGCATTCATGTGGTGGTTACAGTGGTAAATATAACAATAACAGAATAATATATATATTATTGTATTATAATTATTGATGTGATCATCAGCTTAATGTTGCAGCTGGTAAAGGAGGAGCTAATTTAAATTACATTATATACTGCTGGGTAGCTTATGAAATTCACCATGGGATCAATAACGCTTTTATCTTAACCTATAATAATAATAATACATGATAAAATATGTCTTGATTATATTTTGTATTGTTCTGAATCTTCTAGAAGTACGTTTTAGCATCTGAATAGAGCCATCACAATGTGTCTACAATGTGCCTCTCACACTTGACCACACCCCGAACTAATGGCACACACATTTCAGGGTATTGTTTTGTTATGAATGCTTAGTAAACAGTTTTAAGAATCCATGGTATTAAATCCAACTAACTGTGAATTTATTTAACATTCTTTAAGGAACGTCCGGAGGCTGCAGAATCACCCCTCGGTGGCACCAGCAGTCTAACCTTGGCCAGTACCACTGAGGAGTCCTTCCACACTGATGCTGAGCCCTGCACTCCCCTGGCAGAATCCACCATCTGCACCACACCGGCGCCGGCACCCTCACCGTCACCGCTCGGAGAGAGGCCAAGCACACCCAGCAATCGAAGGACTCCGGCGAAGCGCAGGATGATGCAGGATTTGCGGGAGGAGTCCATCGTCGACGCATCACAAACATTGGTGGCGGGGATCACAAACACTCTGGCACAGTTGGCCCCGAGTGGAGTTGATGACGTACTCGCGGCCCATGCCAAAGTGTTTGAGCACAGACTGCGGCTGTTGCCACCTGATCAGATTAGACCCTACCTGATATACATGGACAATGGCTTCTTCCAGCACATGCAAACCTCGAGTACATACACTTCTCTCTAGACCTTTCACTTGTGTTGTCTCCAAATGTTTTTGTTTTTTTTAAGTTCATTTTAAATGTCTAATTATTTTTACAGACAGTTGTGGCAATAACATTTTTTTTTCTGTATTGCATAGCATTTTTATTGTATTGTATTTTTGTAGATAGTTTACTTTTTGTATTATATTGTTGGATAATAAACCACTTTCTACCTATACCGCAAACTGCAAAACTTTATTTCGTACCTTCACGCTACAGACATTACATAACACAACATTCAGAGAGCTGAAGTGGAGGAGCTGATTTAAATCATATACTGCTGGGTAGCTTAGGACATTCACCATGGGATCAATAACATTTGATCTTAACCTATAATAATACATGATCAAATATGTCTTGATTACATTTTGTAGTGTTCAGAATCTTCAAAGTTAAGTGAAGTTATCAAATAAATGTAGCGCAGTATAAAGTACACTGAATGGGAGCAGAAGTATGAAGTTGCAGGATTTGTCTCAAGTACTTCAACATTGTCCTTAAGTACAGTGTCTAAGTACATGAGATACTGTCTACCGCTGTTCATTTGAACTTCAATGCTGACATTTCGGTTGATGATAACTCTCTGTTTGGCAAATGTTTACTGTATTTTTGTGCCGATAATAATCTCATACTGTCATGTAAATCTCTAATACCTGATAAAAGCTTTACATATATTAGTGAAGCATGGCATACTGTATAATGGCTTGATCACTGTATATGCACAGCTGATGCACACGCTTCTCTTCACAACATTGACATTTGATATGAGTTGGCCACTACAGATCATATTCCTTTTGTATCGACCCTGTTGGATAGGCTGGAAAGGTATATTACCACAGCTGACAACCAGTTTGGTTTTAAAAGAAAACACGGCACAGATATGTGTATTTCTGCTTTAAAAGACATTATAGCAAAAATATAGAAGCCATAATTCCACCATGTTTCTGTGTTTCATTGTTTCAAATGATTTGACAAAATGTGCCAGAGAGGGTTACCCAAGTACAGAATAAGGATCGTAGCCTTCTCTAGACTATGCAGGTGAATAGTATAGTGTGTCTGCACTTTATGTGTCATTTTCATCATTCATGTATTTTATATTCTACTAAACTGAATCAAACCATAAACAAGGTGGGCTGTTGGGATTACAATATCTATATATTGATATAATATATCTGCATTATTTTATCCCACGTTATGCTTTGCTGCTTGTTTTACACTGATGTCATGTCTTACTGATGTAAAGCACGTTGAACTGCAGTCCCCTGAATGAAAGGTGCTATACTAATAAAGTTATTATTATTATTCAGATGGATGTCTCTGCCCCTCTGTTCATCCTCCCATTCTCCTCCTCAATCTGCCTAGAAGTATTTTAATGTTGTAGCTGTTACTATAACCAATACTAATGCTAGGGCTGCAACAGTTCTGTAGGCACATAGTTATTGTTTCTTATCGCTGTGTGATTCAAAGAATAAACACAAATAGCAGGATAGGCAATGCAAACATTTATTTAGTACCTTCAGACACACATAACACAACATTAGAATGAGCTATTATCAACAGAGCGGGCAGAACCCAAATCTGCATTCAAAGAATACACTTTCCCAAAGCTTGAGGATAATATCACATCACAACCTCTTTCTGAGAGAAAAAGATGGTACTATATCTTATCCCACTGAAAAGGCACTGCACCGTTACCGTTAACATATTGGCACAGTTCATCCCTGTGCTGCTTGGCTCCAGCTGAATTATTGGTGGTGGGTGGCAGGGTGGCTTGCCGTAGGTCAGGGTCTTGTCTCCAGCTTCCTGGTCCTCCCGCCATGTATGCGCTACAGTTCTCTGTGCGCAGGAAGTTGTGCAGAGCACAGCCAGCCAAAACAATGGCCTCCACTTTGTCTTGAATGTTTCTGGTGGTTAGGAAGACCCGAAAACGGTTGGCTAGGATGCCAAAGGCATTTTCTACCACCCTCCGAGCCCGCGACAGCCTGTAGTTGAAGATGCGTTCCTCTACAGCTAGCCTGCGGTTCGGATAGGGCTTCATCAGGTGCTCCTTCAGGTGCTTCATCAGGTGCTCCTTCAGGTGCTTCATCAGGTGCTCCTTCAGGGGAAATGCCTCATCTGCCACAATGTGGTAACAAACCGCCTGGTCAGAAGCAGGAAGTGGTGCAGGTGCAGGGATGTTGCATGTCCTATTCTCCAAGGCATCCTGCAGTGAGCATCCACCAAACACACCACCATCTGAAATCCTCCCATTACAACCTACATCTACATACAAGAACTTATAGTTGCTGTCGACCAGTGCCATTAGCACAATGGAAAATGTATGTTTGTAGTTGTAGTATGTTGATCCAGTTCTTGGAGGGGGGCGGATGTTGATGTGTTTCCCATCCAGGGCACCTAGGCAGTTTGGGAAGTCCCACTGAGCCTGGAATCCATCAGCTACTTGCTGCCACTCTTCCACTGTGTCTGGGCACTGAAAAACAAAACATATATTTTTTAAGAGCCATGTTTCATACTGTATGGCAAACCAAACATTTGCTGTTCAAATGCCTACAGACCTCACTGTATTACATACCGTTTGCACAGTAAAACCAGTAAGTATCCACACATACCTTCAGGTATTTCTCTTTTGAAACCTCGTAGATGGCTCTACAGGTCTCAGGAACGAATTGCCGGATGGTTGACACTCCCACTCGGAACTGGTAGGAAAGGCTCCTGAAGCTTTCCCCTGCAAATATTAACAAACACATAACTGAGTTATCTACACAAGCAGCTGAACAAAACACTCATTAGCTACAAAACTACAGGTTATAGTTTACAAGATAGTTGATTACTTTAAGTACTATGAAGATTCAGACAAATGATACAACATATAATAATGAAATATTTTAACATGCATTATTATAGGAAGAAGATAACGCTTTATTGATCCCTTGGTAAATTCTCAAGCAACCAAGCAGTACTTTGATACTTTGGTTTTGTACTTACACTAGTACATCTACATTACACTGCGGTATTACTACTAAAGCACAATATACAATAATATACAATAATATACAATAATATACAATAATATACAAAGTGCTGCAATTTCAAATATAGCAACATCTTTAGCTTGCATACCTGTTGCCAAAAATCGCAGCGTAACCATCAAACGTGTCCCTACGGAGATACAATCCCGGTAGTTGGTGTTTTCCCTCTGGATGATTGGAGTGATGAGTTCCTCCAACATGTGGAACTGAACAGGTTAGGTATGGAACAAGCTGAGAACTGAACAGGTTAGGTATGGAACAAGCTGAGAACTGAACAGGTTAGGTATGGAACAAGCTGAGAACTGAACAGGTTAGGTATGGAACAAGCCGAGAACTGAACAGGTTAGGTATGGAACAAGCTGAGAACTGAACAGGTTAGGTATGGAACAAGCCGAGAACTGAACAGGTTAGGTATGGAACAAGCTGAGAACTGAACAGGTTAGGTATGGAACAAGCTGAGAACTGAACAGGTTAGGTATGGAACAAGCCGAGAACTGAACAGGTTAGGTATGGAACAAGCCGAGAACTGAACAGGTTAGGTATGGAACAAGCCGAGAACTGAACAGGTTAGGTATGGAACAAGCTGAGAACTGAACAGGTTAGGTATGGAACAAGCTGAGAACTGAACAGGTTAGGTATGGAACAAGCTGAGAACTGAACAGGTTAGGTATGGAACAAGCTGAGAACTGAACAGGTTAGGTATGGAACAAGCGAGAACTGAACAGGTTAGGTATGGAACAAGCTGAGAACTGAACAGGTTTGGTATGGAACAAGCCGAGAACTGAACAGGTTAGGTATGGAACAAGCCGAGAACTGAACAGGTTAGGTATGGAACAAGCCGAGAACTGAACAGGTTAGGTATGGAACAAGCTGAGAAACTGAACAGGTTAGGTATGGAACAAGCCGAGAACTGAACAGGTTAGGTATGGAACAAGCTGAGAACTGAACAGGTTAGGTATGGAACAAGCTGAGAACTGAACAGGTTAGGTATGGAACAAGCTGAGAACTGAACAGGTTAGGTATGGAACAAGCTGAGCAACATTTCT